CCACTACGAACAATTATGTACAGATATTTCTTTGAGACCATGCTTTCAGTTCTTTTGGGTATGTACTTAGAATGCAGAATTGCTGGATTGTATGGTAATTCCATTTTTTAATTTTTTTGAGGACCTGCCATACTGTTTTCTACAACGACTGTACCATTTTAATTCCCACCAACATTGCACAAGAGTTACAATTTCTCCACATCCTCGCCAACATTTGTGCTATGTGCAAGCTTCTCCAGAAACAGGTGCACAGTTGCCTGCCACATGGCTGGGGGTGGGGGATGGGTAGCTGCTACTGTGCTAATAACTGAAGTTGACCAAAATTAACCACAATTTAGTGTGTAAGTCTTCTCCTGGTAGTTGCAAGCCTTCAACAGAATCCAGAGTTCCAAAATATAACTATATTATCAGACAGATTCTGCCAGTGTAATTGTTGTCTAGGTGGGAAGACAGATTCCTGGTGCTTCCTACTCTGCCGTCTTCCCCAAATCCTCTCTGTATTTTGTTGTTGTTGTATAAAAAGAGTATATGATCATATGAAATTGAGAGTAATAGCGAAAACTATATAGTCTAACCCTAATTTTGATTTTGCGAAATGTTACTAGTCTAATTTTGTTTCCAAGTTTGAGTTCTCACTTAGCTCAACCACAGTCTTTCTTTCAGACTTTCTACTTCCCTGTCCTTAACCACCCTAAAACTGTTGTTGGCAGTTGGAATGGCTATTGCTTTATCAACTTCCAGAATTTCCATAGTGGTGGCTAGGGGTTCAGGGAGCTGAATATTAATGGAAGTGAGAAGGGTAAGCAAATAATTTAAATAGTTACTGTGTAAACTGGTTTATATAAGGATAGGCTTCTCTTTTTTTGTATAGCCATGGCTTAAAGGATTGTGCTGGTTTTGAATGTTAGCTGTGGCCGTGTTTTGAGAATCTAAACAGGCAGTCTATTTATAAGGAACTCATGGGATTGGACTATATAAGAGTAAATCCAAAGTCTAAGGAAAAATGCTAGACTTTGAGGATGATCACCTCCACAAGCCATCAGGAGGTTGACCTATCTTTTCGTTTCATCTTAGGAGCTTTTGTTTCTTCTTAACAAAGTGGATACTCTTCTCTAAAACTAGGGCTTATGAATGGAGTTAAGTAGGTATACTTGGCTACCAAGGAGGGGAAGGGAGCAGAGCAGTTCTGGAGAGTCTAAGACAACAGAAAGACTGCCAACCTCCTCTCCCCCACCAGAAGACCTCTATTAATTTAGAAATTTTAAGCCCTATTTGATAAGAATTTCTAGAAGTACAGTTTTCTTTAACTTGAATACAGCCTTTAAAGACTCACAGTAAAAGTTCATACTGTTCTTACTGTTCTATTAATGTCAATGCTATAAAATTTATTCTTTTTAAGGGAACAATGTTTATATTCTTCATAATTCAATTTTGGTGATATTTATCTAATTATGTGCTACTAATTTTGATATAAGGAATGTTATTTTTTAATGGAATACAATTTTTTTTCCGTAAATTTGCTTCACACAATATAGTTGTAACACTGTGTTCCTAAATATGTCCTCATTTTACAATTCTTGTATTAAGAAATTCCTGTATTCCATGCATTTGTATTTTGTTTTCTTATTTATTGAATAAGGTTTAATTTCTAGTTCTGAATAACATTAGTATCGTTTACCAATTTTAGATGGAATTCATACTAATCCTTGGAGTCTAATATACTCTAAAATAGCTGAAGCATTAGAAATTTTGGCACTCAAGCCTCAAAGGTATTTTATTCTAAGTCATTTAGTATGATGATACCTAACTAAAAATGGATTAGTATAAAATGTTCTTTTGACTCTATATTCTGTTTCTTCTTTCTTTTTACTCTTTTTCTTAAAAAGTAACTGTAGATAGCAATCAGAATGATGGTAACCTAAATCAGACGACCTCCTCTCCATTCTCATGTGCTCCTACTGATCTGCTTTTTCTGAGCCAAGGAGCTACTGATGAAATAGGCAGGTGGGACCTGGAGGGTTTCAGCCAAGAGACCTGTTGTGATGCTTTCCCTCTTCTGGGACAGACTCAAGGCTGAAACAGTGTGGGGGAGCCCTTGGAGAGGATTTGAGGGGCAGGTGACTGATGGATAAAGACTGCAACCAAGAATCCCATGTCCATTCAAATTACTCACCAGTCAAGATATTTGCATCTGATAAAAGGTAAAAGAAAGATGTTTGCACCTGGGCAAAAAATGAGAGAACATTCACATCTGAATACCCTGTCCAAGAAAAATGCTTGAGAAATTAATCTTAAATATTTTAAAGAGTAAAAATATTTATAAAGTATAAATTACTTTTAAAAGTCTGGTGTATCTAACAGTATATTTATCCCCATAGTGGGTGTTGATACCTATATTTGACAAATAAAATTTATCAAGTTATATTTATATAGGCAAATATATTTAGAATGGAATCATATTTCATTCACTGGGACAAATGTATTATTTTGGACAGATTTTTCTTTTGAACAGAATCAAAAACCTATCCTTTTGCTTTTATATCTATGAAATTAATTGCTTTGACTTCATAAATGTCCTATGATTTAGTTAGAAGGATCCTGACATTTGGAATCAGAAGGTGTTAATTTCAGTCTATCATTTACTAGTAGAGGCAAGTTACTAAACTGCTCTTATTCTCTGGTTTTTTTTTTTTACCTGTAGAATACCTATGTATTCTATATTATAGAGTGTTAGAGGAATTAATGATAATATAAATATGTCTTAACAGGTGTTTTTATCATAAACATCAACTGTCAAGAATCATTCCTTAGCTATTGTAATCACTATATTTTCAAGATAGTGGTTATGAATGGGGGAGAGAGGAAGCTACTATAGAGGGGGATTTTGTGGGGTAGGAGACTTTGACAGTATTATTGATATTTTATTGGATGTGGGTACTCATCATCCTGTATATTTTTCTGTCTTAAATATTTCTTAATTGTTAAACATAATTTTTCCTTAGGAAATACATAAAACTGTCCCATGAAATATCTTAACCAATAAAGTATCTAACATTTTTCTATCAAAGGACACTGCTTATTAGGACACTCTGTCTTAAAGTCTCATGAAAAATCAAGAAATTTCGTACCCCTAGGTGTGCATTTCTGCATGACGGCAGTGAGTTGGTGCTGAGTATCAGCTGCTTCCTTTAGTGGGGCCATGTGCTCCACAGTTCTCCACACTCACTGTGCTCCCTGATGCTCATATCAAATGTCATTTGCCTTTTATCATCATAAATGTTTGTATTAACTGCTTGGCCCCTAAACCAGTTTAGTTTATAACTGTTAGAGAGATTATATTCAGTAGATGTCAGATTCTTCTATTGATATTTTGCTGTGATATTTTAATTTGATGTCATATATTTTCAATACTTTATAAAGCACACTTACATACATTTTCTCTACAAACATATAACATAAAGTACTCTTTGTTTGTCAGCTCTTCCTTCTCTCATATCCAGTCAATCCTTTCATGTTACCAATTAAACATTTCTCAAATCTAGTTCTTCCTGTCCAAGCTTACTGCTACTGCTCTACCTCAGGCCTTCATCATCTCTCACCTGGAATTCTTTAATTGCTCCCTGAGTTCCTTGCCTCTAGTCACATTCCTTTCAGTTCATCCTCAAGTGTATTGCTAAAATGATGCATCAAAGTGCAAATATCATCTTGTCATCCTGCTATTTCAAATTTTTCCAGTCTCTCCATCTTCTATAGCAGGGGTCAGCAAACTTTTCCTTATAGGTCCAGATAGTAAATATTTTAGGCTTTGCTTGTCGTAAGTTTTCTACCACAAATAATTGACTCTGCTATTGTTGATTGAGCACAAAAGCAACCATAGACAATATATAAACAAATGGGCTTGGCTGTGTTCCAATAAGATCTATTTGGAAAACCAGGCTGCTGATCTAGGGCCATAGTTTGGTCTAGGGGCTCCTGTTCTATGATATAAAAGGCTTTCCCTGTCTTTGCTCCTGTCTCATCTACCACTCTCCCATCATCCTGTTTCTTAAAGTTTCTTCAGAGGCACTGTTCAAATTCTTAAACTTTTCTAAGCACATCTTCTTTCTATACCCAATTATTGAATTCTTTTCATTCAAGCTCTTTCTCCACAAATAGCAAAGTATTCAAATATATCTTATAAAATGTTAATTCTCAAATGATGGTATATATAAATATGAGGTTATTTAGTCACTTGCTGACATCTTTATAAGTGTATTGTGAAGTAAAGTCTTAAGTTTTAAAAACAGCTTTTAACAGGTCTTTCATAAAAGCATAACCTTGATACAATCCATGTTATAGTTTGATACCGTCAACACGTTACCCAGAAATCTCAGAATAGATCACTGGTAGGAAAGTAGTTTAGTTTTAACATTATCAACTGTATTGAATCAAGATTTATTGAGAGAACAATTTTAGGACAGATGGTAGGAATTGAAAGCGTGTAACTGTAGCTCACATTGTATTCCATCTTCATCACAATTGCTCCTTGCACATACAGTTAGGAAAGCAGAAGATATTTGGTTTGGGACTTGCCTGAGATATTGGACTTCAAGTTGCCATTTAAATTCTGATCAGTTACTCCGCATGTTTCCTGTATCAAAGAAGTAATACAGCCTGAGAGTATGTTGTTAACTGTGGGGGTTTTACCCCGTTACTAACTTGCAGTTATTGAGGCTATTACTGATTAATACCGTGTTGGCTAGTAAACAAACCCTTTTCAGTAAAAAAATGGAAGAACTTCATTTTTGCATCATATTAATGAAAAGTGTGATTCAATTACTGAGGTGAGAGAGTAGATAGGTAGAGCTGCTGTGATGGAATTTTGTTAAGATGTGGATGGATATTAATACTGATTATGGTAAAGTTCCCTAAATTTTCTGATACTCACATAACAGTGCTTTAATTTAAAGCTCAATCTATTAAAACTGACCTGTAAAATGTCTTTTATGGTTGATTTTTAGCCACCAGCTGAGCAGGCCAAAGCTAGACTACAGCTGGTTCTTGAAGCTGCTGGTAAGTGTTGATAATTAACTTTATTTAAATGAAAAAGTGTGAAATAAATCCTAGCATGCTTACGGGTGGGTCAAAGAGAGAAACACCTATTTTCATATATCCTCACACATCTGTGAGATCTAGATTGTATGTATGGCCATATTTTACCTGAAATATTCATTGCTACAGTATAATGCTAAAAGGTCATTCTTTACCTTTTTATTTATAAAATTGGCTTCAATTTTAGTTTTAATTTTAATGAAGTCCAATATTTTTATTTTTGTCTTTTATAGACTATTTTTGGTGGCATGTTAAAGAATTCTCTGCCTAACCCCACATCATGAAGATTTTCTCCTAAAAGTTTTGTATTTTCACATTTTATATTTAAGACTATGATCTATTTTGATTTAATTTTTGTATAAGATGTATTTTAGATCAAGATTTTCATTATTATAAAGCAAATGAGGTAAAGGTCATTTAAGAATTCCTCCAGTTACATTGGACTAACTCATTGGACTGTTCTGAATACCATCTAATCTTAAAATATTGTTTTATTTCTCAATAGTACAATAATGCTATGACTTTGATTTTAGATATAATTCTCAGATTCATGTAGACATTAAATACTTTACTTTTTTAAAAATATAAAAGATCCATGTTATCTTTTCTAAGTACTGATATTTTACTCTGAATCTTAAGGTACTCTTCAAAAATGTATGTAACTTGTTCAAATAATAAGTTGTCAAGATCAAGCATGAGGTAGGGTTAGAATAATATCACCAAAGTAATACATATTTCTTAAAATTATTTGCTTTTTAAAGATCTGTAAAGAGTTCATAATTTCCAGTTGTAAAATGAGAATTCTATTTTAACATCAAAAGTAATTTCAGACTACCAAATGATAGTACTTGTATTTTTAGTATTCATTGATTGAGAAAATACATATGTGCATATTGATTCAAGGATTTCATCATTAGCTTCTTGTGCTCTCACCCAAGGTGTCCGCAGTCTAAAGATTGGGAATACTGGTATAAATGATATACTAGCTTCGTAAACTACTAATAGAGGTAACTTATCATATAAGGATAGAAATTGATAAATATTTTGACTGTGCGTCTCTATACCTCTCCATATTACTTCAGAAGTCACTTATATTTTATGGGTTAATCTTACTCATTTTATCTTTAATTATGTAGAAAACATGATGTATTAAAATTTTGCTTGCCAAGTTTTTGGTTTTTTTGACTCTCAAATAAATATACTATCGGATAAAGCTAGTTAATATGATTCTTTATCGTTTACTTGATATGCATTCATTCTTTAGTGGCATTTTACTTTGAAAAAATATTTCCAGTTTATAATTTGAGTGTTGACAAACTCTTGTTTTAAGGGAAAATATTTCTCGTGCTTAGTCCAGAAAATACTTGTTTGCATTAATACAACTACAAAGAATTTCATCATAGTTTTATACAATTTTTTAAATCTTTTAATATGACTTTGAAGCATATTTTAAAACAGATCTGACAGTCCAAACCTCACAGTGTATAACATACTGTCCCAGCTGTCACCCCTGATTTTTTTTTTTCTCTTTGTGAGGAGATCAGCCCTGTGCTAACATCTGCCAATCCTCCCCTTTTTTTGCTGAGGAAGACTGGCCCTGGGCTAACGTCCATGCCCATCTTCCTGCACTTTATATGGGATGCTGCCACAGCATGGCTTGCCAAGCAGTGCGTCGGTGCACGCCCGGGATCCAAACCAGCAAACCCCCGGGCCGCCTCAGCAGAGCACACGCACTTAACCGCTTGCGCCACCGGGCCGGCCCCTATATTGCTTTATAATATGACGTAACATATTATACCCCTTTGAAAAATATCCGGTACTGCTTTTAATGAGAGCTGTGCCTTGGAGAGTGGAAGCAGAAGGATGAATAGGGGAGGAGCACAATAAGCAAATACAGAACTTATCGTTAAGTTTCTAGATCTCTGTTTCAGTGATAAATTCAAGGTGTTCGTTGTATTATTAGAAATAAACAAATAAGCAAAATAAGGGAGGGAGGAATAAGAAGAACTTGAGCTCAGTCTGGTAAGCCTTGCAGATAAAGTCTAGCCTAGTCCTAAGACTGAGGTAACTGAATAGGAAGGTCTGGTAGCACTCATTCTGGAGTTTACTTGAGTTCGCAGGGAAAACTCCCTCGACTTTGAGGCCTTAAAATTGGGTACAGAGAAAGTCTTAAGGATGTATGCTAGATTCTTTAGATGGGATTTATTTCAACCTTATAGTTACTGTAATCTGGTAGATAGGATTCATATACAGAAATCCTGCTGATTAGACTTTTTTATTCTAAGTGTAGGTCCCAGGAGAAAGTTTCATATATAATCATTGCATTGTTATTGATTTATTAGTGTTAATAATGTTATTGGTTTGGAATTAAAATATATTGAGAACATTTGGCAACAGTTATTAGTGGTATGATTTTGAGAGACATATGTATGAGTAAAATAACATTAAGCCAAATGTAACTGTATGACGTCATGCATATTGTACTAAACATGAATTTGAAGTCAGAGATTTTATTGTATTTGTTAATGATCATATTTTGTAAGCACTAAACTGTTACATTTTTATACTTTGCTATCCTAAATCTTCAGATTTAGATAGAATCTTTTTTCATTTTCATTGCCAAATTGCAATTGAAACCAAATTTCATGTCTTTTGTTTAACTTTTAATTCAAAGGTGATATGAAGTTAAGGTTATATCTGAGGTTGCTTTTTTTTTTCCCCCAAATGCCAATAGGACACAGAAGGTTACAAAATTGTATGAATTTATGAGACTGAATCTCTAAGTTGTAACCTTTACTCTATGATATTGAGTAAATCCAATTAAAAACCCTTTCTGCCATGATTTCTTCCTTTCCTTTTTTAAAATACTTTTACCATTCTCCCATTTAAGATTCAAAACCATGAAATTTTTATATTTGACTTCTTTATAATCAATCATTCACCTAGAATTAATAACTCTTATTTTGATATATTTTTTATATTTATCCCTTTATTATCTTTTCCACTGCCATCTCCTTAGTCCAAATGCCAAACATTCCATCCAAAGGTTAATCCTTTATCTCCTAATTGGTCTCTTTCTTCAGTTCTGTTACTTCTCTAGAGAGCTGGTAGTGAATAGTGGAAGGGTTCTCAGGCTGCTTCCGCTGCTTGCTCGTCTGTGACCTTGAGCAGCTTGATGTTTATTGTTTAGCCAAAACAGAGGGTTCTTTTTTTAAATGGAATATGACAGATGTGTGTATTTTCTAGTTCACTATAGTTCTCTATTTTTTAAAAGTAATTTATTAAGGTGAAATTCACATAATAGAATATTAATCATAGTTGTTTAAAGTGAACAATTTAGTGGCATTAAATGCATTCACAATGCTGTATAACCAGCACCTAGTTCCAAAACATTCCCTTACCTCCAGGTCCTGGCAACCACCAATCTGCCCCCTGTCTGTGTGCATTTATCTATTCTGGACATTTCATATAAATGGAATCATACAATGTGTGACCTCTGTGTCTGGCTTCTTTCATTTAGCGTAATGTTTTGGAGGTACAGCCACGTTGTAGCATGTGTCAGTATTTTATTCCTTTTGTGGCTGAATAATATTCCATTGTATGTAGATAGATACATTATTTGTTTGTTCATTGATTTACTGATGGAAATTTGTGTTGTTTCCACCTTTGGCGATTGTGAATAGAGTTGCTATGAACATGCATACACATGTACTTGTTTGAGTACTTGTTTGTAATTTTGGGGAGTATATACCTAGGAGTATATTGTGGGGTCATTTGGTAGTTCTACGTTTAACTTTTTGAGAAACCACCAAACTTTTCCACATCGTTGAATCATATGACATTCCCACTAGCAATAAAAGAGTACAGCTCCCTGTTGTCTCACATTTAAGTTACCTGTTTGAAAGTATTTAGGTTTGGGGACTTCTCTTACCATAACTTCCTAATCTGTAAGAGGGGAAGATAATAACTACCTTATAGGGTTGTTGTGAAGATAAATATAATAATGTCAAGTGCCTAGCCCAGAGTCCGGCAAATGGTAGCCACCAGAAAAGGTTTATGCTTTTTGTAAATACCACTGCTGGATGATTCTTTCTCAACCACCTTTTGGTCATGCTACTCCTTTGCTCAAAATTATTCATTGGCTCTCGATTGCTTACAGAATCAATTTTACACTTGTATGCTTGAAGTTCCAAGGTTCTGTGTGGTGGATCCACAGACTTTTCTAACTTTATTCCTTAGAAGTCATTTCTGTACTTCTTTTCTTGTTCTTTGAGTTCCTCATGTTCTTTTCTACCTGAGAATCTTTGCTCATGACTTTTTTTCTTCTAGAAATGTCTTTCTCTTTCCTCTTCCTCTCTCCCCAGACATTCAAAATGCATCTCAGGTAAAATTTCCACATGATTTTCCTGACCATTCCAGCACATAATCTTTCTCTTATTTGAATTCTTTTTGTCCTTGTCTTTGCACACCATTTATGCTGATATTTACTAACATATTGCTGGTATTGATATTTAATTGTTTCATAAGTGTTGGACTTATTTTCCTATTGAAATAATAAACATCTGCAGGTCAGGAACCATATCTAAAACTTCTGAATCTTTCCCAGCAGTTTTAACAGCACCTATAGTGAGTGGTACTATACCAAATGGAATTTCAGCTATTAATCTTTGGTGAATAAGTCATTGTGGAGAAACAAATGATCTGGATAACTGAAAATTAAATCTTTAAATGCTGGTGTGCTAATTTTAACCACTGCGTGATAGATTTTAAAATAAATATATTAAAAAATTCTCTGGCTATAAAAGTAGAAGATATATGACCATAATCTGACTTTTTAATCTTAAACTTGAAGGTAGTGCATGACAGAAAAGATAATGATTCTCACACAGGAAGAAGGAAGATAAGTTTACTTAAAGACTTTGTCTCCATCACTTTTGCTCTCAGTGTTGTTTGACTTACTAGCACCATTCCA